CACTTAAGTTACATAAACGTTTTGGGTTAAAAGTGCAGATCTTAACTGTTTATCGAAATACCATTTATGTAACTTAAGTGAGGAATTAAATCGACGATTCTGTTGTCTTCTGAACTATTTGTTCGCAAATATGTGCATTTTTTAAACATATTATACTGATACATGTTTGTGATAACAATGTTGTGGGAATTCTGCCTACAACGTGTGAAATAAGGAAAAAAAGAAAAATCATAATACCTTCGATGTTCTGACATTTTGTTACAACGTACAACAAAAGTTCTATTAAAAGAGAGCAGCAAGATCTGAATTATTGCAGCCCCGTGTTCTTCCTCCAACGTCTGATGCTGCGGGATACCACAGTTATAGAGCGTACCTTCAGATCCAGGAGTGGAAGGGAAATAAACTGCCTCCATTATAATTGGGCTGGGAAATAAGCAGCGAAGCTTTTGTACCAATAACGCAGATGCGAGTAGGTAGTTACCAGATTCACCACCAGATGGTTCATTTGGGTCAGATAGCATGGCTGGTATAGTAGAAAGTTCCCTAACTTAATTACATCTATTTGCGTGGTTCAATTTTCATATAACCCTTATGTATCTAATAGTTATGCAAATTAAAATATGTCCAGTAAAAGAAAATGTTATCTGTCCAATACAAGATAAGATAATCCAATTTTTGTGATTTTGTAACATGGGGTCTATGGGGAATATTTCAAATATGACATCATTTTGAATTTTGAATATTTAATGAATATTTCTACTCGTATCTAGTCTATTGCCTACCTGCAGCTCCCCTCTCTTAGAGATCATCCATTGTGTGTGTAAGACAGATTGAACTTCTATGAGATGTACTTGCAGAAAATGGAATAACTGTTCTATGGCATGTAAGGTATGCAAAGGCATTTGTGCAAATACCTCCATTACTGATCATGAAAATAATGATGACTAAAAAATGAAGGCTGCTGATAGGCAAGGTTGAAAGTGATTGTTGTTACAACATAAAAGTATTAAGCTTATTTAATCAGCATTATTTTTTGCTCTCTATAAGTAAGACACATATATGTAAGTTAAGATTACAAAATGAAGGCAGCATTTTTGATAATGAACATAACGTAATCGAACCATGCCCATGACCAGGGATTTACTTTGCGTTACACTAGTTAACTCAGTATAATTTATTAGCATAGAAACCTTTTCCTCATTTTTTAGTGAATTTCATCTTGAAATCCAACATTCTACAGTTGAACTTCTTCATTTCAATTCTCAATATCACAGTGTGGTTAAGAACATCTTAGTCAAAAGCAACAATTTTCCTTAATACAGGGTGAGCTAAAAAGGAAACCCAAACAAATCTTAATAACCCAGTCCAGTCATCCTGCATGAATTTAGTGTCATATTTTGCAGAATTGAGCCTTGGTCAATGTATTATCAATCTAGTCTCAGTGGTCTATCTCTAGTGGTCACGATTTTATGGCCATTTTATACCATGCCATGAAATATGGGCGTCATGCCTGGAGGTCAACTTGAACGTATCGGCCGTAGTTTTTCAAATCAGGAGCATAAAAATCGTGTGTTATGACTCTCATATTCATTCTTATCTCTTGTTTTAATGTTTCAAGGGTTGTAAGTATAGAAAATAGGTCCACATATAAAAAGCTGGTGGTATTGATGTCCAGTCATTTAGGCACATTTCGATATTTTGAGCACATTTTGTAAATGGCCATAAAATCGTGACTATTAAGGATAGATCAATGACACTTAGTAGAATGAAAGAACATTGAACAAGGTAATTGTGCAAAATATGATGTCAAACCCATGCTGAATGACTGGGTTATAAACAAAAATTTGGTTGGGTTACCTTTTTTGGCTCATATTAATAACCTGATGTCAGGGACAGGGATATTTAACATTTTGTTGCCTTTTCAAGGCTATTTTTAGAACACTGATTGTACTTAATTTCTAACAAATCGTTCTCTGTTTTAACAGAAAATGTATCAAATTGAATATAATAAGGGCAAAACATTTGATAATTTAGCAGTTATCAACTAAAAGTAGGGCTTCCCCTATATTTCACCTGCCATTTGCAGTTTTTCTACTTTTTTTTACATAATCCTTCCCTGAAAACATCAAATAACTGTTTTCAGGACAAAATAAGCCTTTACAAATAGTTTAGTTGTGCTGTTGAGTTCAAATATGACATATCTTGGAAGTAATTAAACAAAAGTAAGGTCACCCCAAAAGTTGGTGTGGTAAAATATTGAAATTTCAAATATTATTATCACCCTGAATATTCAATTAATGACCCTGATACTGATCAAATACAATTTTCAGGTATACATTAACCTCCTTGATTTTTTTCATGCAATTCTGATGAATTGATACAGAAATAAATACATTGTTATATTAAATTCGGGCTATTTGATGGCTTATTTTAAGATATTTGGGGCTAGAAATGCCAATTATTGCACTCAAATAGTTGGTTAACAATTTTTAGTTGCTCTTATGTCAGTAAACTATCATAATATTACTCATTTAGTTGACAAGAGCATTTAATTTTGAAATTAAAAAATATTTACAATCCCATACTCAAATTTGGAGGGGGGTACCTAGAATGTGACATTTCATATTTGTCCACTGCATATATTTTTCTATATTTTTGATATGTTTTTCAACTGGTATCAATATACAATAAAGGCCTAATTTAAAAACAGTTGCAATTTTTGGGATGTTAAACTTCCATTTGCCTAGCCTACATGGCTGACACTTGAAAAACAAACAGATTTAACATGCAAAGTAATCGCGGGAAATCAATGTGGCGGCGATTAAAGGTGCTGATTGGATGTTTGTAAGGAGTGATCGGAACTATCACGTGTATGAGTAGCTCACATGAAACTGACACTTGAAAAACAAACAGATTAACATGCAAGGTAAGCTCGGGAAAGCAATGTGGCAGGGATTAAAGTTGCTGATTGGATGTTTGTAAGGAGTTATCGGACTTATGACATGTATGAGTAGCTTACGTGAAACTGACACTTTAAAAGCAAACAGATGAGCATGCAATATTAGCCCGGGAAATAACAGAATTATACACGGTCAACTAACCACCCATAAAAACACAGACCGGTCAAGGCATTATCGGCGGTTAACCGGTTAACCGGTTAATACTTGACACCTCTACCTATCACCCTACTATATTTCATGACCACCAGACTGATAGTCACAATTTTACAGCACTTTGAACAACATGCTACAGATTTGGGCATTATCGCGCTGTAGTCAAACCTGCACAGTTGTCAATGACCCGAATGCATTTCTCAACTGATATGGCCTGAATGACATGGAAGATCTCACTTTTGAGGTCCTCAATTGTTTGAGTACATTCTCATACACTCTATCATTGACGTATCTTTACAGGTATGGACATTTTGGACTATGTGTGCAGGTTTGCCAAAAGCATAAAAGTGGCTACTATACTGGGGCATGTTCTTTAAAGTGCTGTAACATTGTGACTATCAATCTGATGGTCATGAAATATATTTGGCTGGTACGGAATTGAATGATGTACAAATGTGTAAATATCAGGGAGTTATTTTTTAAGATTACAAAGATATGAGGAAAATGGCGTAAGGGTTTCCATTTTTTGACCACCCTGTATTTGTAATTTAATCTACGTTTCCAGTTTGCCCTACTTTTGTGAGAATTTTTTTAAGAGTGACTGCAAACTATTGAAATGATGAATGTCAAAGGATGTTTCTAAACAAAGTAATGCTAACTTGTAAATGAAAGATTTAATTTTGCATAAATGTTTCACCATATATGTCCATCTGTCTGTCTATTTAAAATCTGTCAATTTTCAATAACTGATTCCTGCCATTTCATTGAAACTTATTTTATATAAGAAGAGTATTGTTGAAAAGAAGGCCCAATTATTCCCTAAAAAGGAAAATAATTTGAGCCCTGGGGCAAACCATATGGAAGGTGATTAGGATAAGTTGATCAAGTTTTAATCTTCAGTTCTTTATAACCTGTTAGTTACAATGATTACTTCCAGACCACATTTGTTTTGACTTCTGTTTCCAAAGGAATATCACATTATTAATCAGAATATCAAAACTATGGAAATAACTTGCTGCTGCCATTTCATTCCAATTTTTATTGTAATTTCAATCCTAGTAAATGGAAGGAATGTTCCCTGGTTGGTAGACAGTCGGCTGACTTTTGAGATTAATCATAGATTGTTCGTATCTGATCATGAAACAGGACGGTGTCTTTTATCTGTAACAAAAGTGCATAAAACAATAACAAAATCAATTTGACTCTGGGATTTCAGGTAATTAAATATTCAAGAAAAAAGCTACTTCTTAAATAGATCATCCAAAATCAAAGAATAAAATAAGCATGTGTGACAGTTATTCTTCAAATTCTCAAAAATATAATGAATTCAGGTGTCTCAGAATTTAGGACCAAAGTCAACAAGTAAAGTTACGTTTAAAAAAACTCGAGCTTTTCTTGAAGTTTGTAGAGTGTGTTGATAGGTAAGTCTAGATAGGCCCCTGGATAGAAACTACATGCTAGGTGGCCCTACTGGGATATTCATCAATAGCTTTCATGGGTGTTAAATGTCAACACAATTCATCAGTTCTCCATTAGAAAACACAAAGGCCAACATTTGAAAGATAAATATATCAAAATAATGTCTGGTTATGGTGACTTTCCATTCTAAAGTTCACTATGTCAATAAAGGTGAAACTTATAAAACAATACCCCACCCTGGGATGCTCTTTCATAATTATCTTACAATTCTGTAGATTGTTGGCAAGAGAGGTATTTGGCTTTATTTAGGTTATAATCACTGCTTTTAGTTTCGCCATTTACCTCACTTATTTTGAGATCCTACCTATATAGGGGTTTAAAATAAAAAAGTGTCCTTTTCATTGCTTTTTTATTGACACAAATCGTTATTTAATTGTCTCTAATTTATAAGTACATTTGTAATTGCAGTATTCCAATATGGAGCTTATACCGTATCATATAGGGTGTTTGTTGTTAATTACTCAGCTGCTACAAGTTTTAGCCCAAGATTTGGATACTGCGGTGCTGCCGCTTGTAGCTGGGGGTAAGGATGATTTAGTTGATTTGCATGCTATTGTTTTGTTTTTGACATCTGAAATGTTCAGATTATTTATCGTTTTATGGTACCTACATAATAGCCACTTTTACATACCTACCTGCCATTCACAAACAAAAAAACAAACAAACAAATAAACACACAAAAAACAAATAAATAAACAAGCCAACAAATAACAGTCACTGAGTTAAATAGCAAAGGAAACAAAAAGAAAACTTCTAAACCATACTAAAACTCATATTTTGGTTGGATTTTCACACATTTATCCTCCAACTGGAATGCATTAAAACATGTAAACCGTAAAACATGTTTCCAAGCATTGCTTCCACATATTATTATGTCAGGTTTTCCCAGACACCATGTTTTCTTGATTTAACAGATTTTACCTGGCTTTTATTACATTTCTGACTTGTATCACCATGCAGTATGAACTTTTCAAAGCCGTTTTTACTTTCCTCCTGGGTTTCATACTGAGACAAGATGTTACTCAGTGCAGAATAAATTCAGAGCAAGTAGTCCAGCTTGGAAACACAACTGCTTTTGATATCATATTTTTTATAACATATTTGTGCAGTGTGATGCATTTTACTTTGGAGAACACCATCTGGTTGATTCCATGAAGTAACATTTTTTAATAGAAATATTTTTGCATGAACATTTTAAAATGAATATTTTAGCTTGGGTTAAACAAAGACCTGTTCTTGTATTCTGGAACATTTTTTGCTAGACAATACATAATGATACAACCTGTTCTACTTGCTTTCTGTTGTTCCAATTTATTAACACAAAGTGACGGCTTTGATAAAAAAAGTAATACCCAGGTTTAAAAATGTTCTGTTTGATTAAAGAATTATAACAGACTTTCCCTTCATTTTGTTTTTATAATCTCATCGAATAAAATTTGAGAAATACTGATTAAATGTTTCATTCTGTTTGATTAAAGAATTATTACTGCCTTTTCCTTTATTACATGTATGTCACCACCAAAATGTTGTGACATTTTGTTATGGTCTCCGTTTTGTGACAGCGGTTTGTTGGCGATCGGTGGTTGGCGATCAGCAGTCGATGGTTGGCGGTTGGCATCTGTAACAAATGGTGGTGACATTTTGCTCCTTGTTTTGTTTTTGTTATCCCATCGAACAAAATGAGAAACGCTGATTTAATGTTTCATTGTCAAACATCTTGTTAATTCTCTAAATTGCAGGTAAAAGGATTATTCTTTCAAGTACAACATGCGAACTTAGAGCTGATATTGTGATTGTGATAGACTCTTCTACGAGCGTGCGATCTGCTAACTTTAAAAAACAGATGTCATTTGTTAGAAATCTAATAGAAGACTTTGATGTAGATGCCGATCAGGTAAGATATAATTGAAAATCAACTGTTCAAAATGTGTTAGATAATTAGAAGGTTTGCTAAATGTAAACTTTTAAACCTGTTGAACTTGTTAAAAGCCTTAAAAATTGCTGCTAATGTTTTTATAAAACTTTGGCAATCAATTGCATGTCTATTATTGTTAAGTAAAGGAATAAATTTATGTAAAAAAAGCCTTAACAAATAGTTTTTGAATTACAATATATGTAACTGCCTTTGTTTTGCACCATCAATAGTCTGTAACTCTAAGATTCTTCCCCGAAACCACAAAAAATGTTCTCTGGTATTCATAAAAAGGAGGTCTGCAGCAAAGCCTATTATTGGTGGCGAAAGTTCTAGATTATTCTGTTTTTTCCATTTCATAGTCTATGTCTAGAATGGTCTTAACAACTGAGGGTGTACTGTTACATTTTTGACAACGAAAAAATACCCTACTATTTTTGTTATTTTTAGGTGAGAGTTGGAATTGCCACCTACAGCACTAAAGAACATGTTCACTTCCATTTAGATGATTATGCCGGCGACAAATCTGCCCTTCTTGCTGCTATCGATAATATACCCTACATATATGGCAGTACAAATACTGCTGCTGGTCTTGCAAAGATGCACAATGATATGTTTGTTGAGAAGAAAGGAGATCGTCCAGGTAAGTTGTGTGAAGGAAGCATATGTACCAGTGATCTCCCCAGCATTAAATCAGTGGGGGGGGGGTACGGCACACACCTGAGATTTTGATAGTAGGCTTGCACCCACTTGAAATAGTGAAAAATTATGAAAAATTGGCATATTTTGACCAATTTATGTCTGAATTTTGCACCCACTTGAGAAAAAATCCTAATGGGAACACTGTTTACCCTATGGAAATTTGGAAAAACTGAATGTTGCCCATATTCTTCAATTTAGGGATAATTCATTGAGCAATTTTCATGCAATCAGACTGTATCATGACAATACATTTCACTGTATCTGAAGAATAATGCCATAAACTCACATTTTTGTGAAAATCAGAAATCAGTCTTTGAAAGTTTAGACATCTGTAACTTCAATTGTATCCAACTGGCATGTATGAAATTTTACATCGTTTTTGTCATATAATTTTGTAAATAACCTAAAAAATCAATGAATTTTAAGATTTTAGGAACATAACTTGAGTATATTTAAAATGGTGATTTCAACTCATCTTTCATAACACTTAAAATATTAAGTCCTTTGTCTTGGCCAGTAAAGCTACAGCCCAAACTCATGGTGTTATTACCTTTGAAAATAGATCCTCTAATAATAATTAAGCATACAGCTAATATTAAGTACTGTAGTGTAATATAAATCGTTTTTAAGGCTTTGTTGATCGTATCATTGCCAATGACATGCCCTGTCTGCCTCATTGAATGTCAGCATCGCCATATGTATAAATGCCTAGCTTTCATCAAAATACAACTTTACAAATGCGAACCAGATGGGGCGGATTGTGTTTGAGGGACAATTCTTGCTCTTACATATAAACCTACATGTTTACATAAATAAAACCCAACCAGGGCATACTAACCCCCTGGCTATTAAATGGTCATCAAAATCATATATCAAAGCTAATTTTGAGGTTTAAGAAATACCAACAGTAGATGATTGATCGTTGTTTGTACTGTGTTTGAGTTATTTTTCAAATCAGTGAATAACCCGTCTACTTACAGGCATAAGAATGAAAAATACTTCTGACACTTTTTGTTTTATTATGCTTATCCCATATATTCTGAAAACTGAATTCATGAGAAGATTCCTCCCAATTAAATCTGAAACTACCAATTAATGCAGCATGTTAGATAATGTAAATTAAAGAATAACTCTTATAGTCATTTATATATTATATTTTTTGATGACTTTTAAACTCGTCAATCTCTCCATCATATATGGATCACTATACAGTTTTTGTCACATGGGTTTTGAAAACAAGTATATACGAGGGTTGATCCAAAAGTTCCGAACCGTTTGCTCTAAAAATCGTAATATTTTATGAACATTGTTCATATTTGGCCACAACCACCCCAGATATAGTAGTTTCATTTTGTGTAAAAATAAGCAATAAATTTGACCAGCAACATAGGTGTCTGGTTACCATAGCAACGTGACAACAGGGTAGGTGGAGCAAGAGTACGACACAGTTATCCTTTATTCAATCTGTGGTAACTGGAGTCACTGTCAATGGAGCTTATTATTCAAAGGTCAGTTACAAAACTTTATCAATCATTTACAAAGTTTTAAACTAGATTACTTTTATGTCGATCTATTTTGAGTCAATCAATTAGGTATGACACTTACTCAGTTTAAAAATGTGTTCTGGGTGCTGAAGAAAGATCTTAAAGATGCTATGAGAAATAAAAAACGAGCAGATCTCCTTGGGAATTTTTACTTTCACCATGATAATGCCCAAGGCCACAGAGCCAATGTTACAACAGAGGCAATACATGAGTGCTTGCAGGCCCAACTACAGCCCCATCCACCATATTATCCTGATATGGCACCATGTGACTTTCATAATGTTTCCTGAAGCCAAGAAACCACTGTGGGGTATCCAATTCGATGATGAAGCTGACCTTAACCAGGCATTTACTAATAGCGTTAATGCTACAGCTAAAGGTGAACTTCACCATGTATTACAGGACTAGTTGAAACGCTGTAAGAAATGTGTGGCACATGGTGGTGACTATTTTGAAGGCAAATGAACTTATAAACTATAATGACCTATTGTATGAGATTTTATGGTGGTGAAACTCCACAAATTGAAATGATCTGAAATAGCTCTTCAATTGCTGAAATTCGGAATAAAGTTTAATTTATTCCAGCTCCACCTACCCTGTTGTCACGCTGCTATGGTAACCAGACACCTATGTTGCTGGTCAGATTTATTGTTTATTTTTACACAAAATGAAACTACTATATATGGGGTAGTTGTGGCCATATATGAACAATATTCATGAAATATTAAGATTTTTAGAGCAAACGGTTCGGAACTTTTGGATCAACCCTCGTATATATCTAACACAGTCATCAGTTATACATAAAAGTATAAAAATAGTGATATCAAAATGTTATAAACATTATTATACAAATCTACTACACTTGTACCTTTTATTTTTTCCAGATGTTCCCAATATTGCTATCATCATGACTGATGGTGTCTCAAACATCAACAAAAGACGGACAATTCCAGAAGCTGAAGAAGCTAGAGCCAAAGGCATTCATATTTATGCGATTGGTATCGGTCTCAGCGGTCAGTCTGATGAGTTAGATGCAATGGCCTCACCTCCTATTGAAGATAATCGTTTTCTTGTCAGCGGTTTTGCTGAATTACAGAAAATCAAGCAGACTGTATACACCCAGTTCTGTAAACGTGAGTAGATTTTTTGTTACCCTTCGGCCAGCTCTAGGCTGTGATGTGTTATATATTTAACTTTGTTTTCAGTATTGGCCCCACCTACCCATAAACCAGCTCTAGGCTGTGATGTGTTATATATTCAACTTTGTTTTCAGGTTTGGCCCCACCTACCCCTAAACAAGCTCTATGCTGTGATGTGTTATATATTCAACTTTGTTTTCAGGTTTGGCTCCATGTACCCATAAACCAGCTCTAGGCTGGGATGTGTTATATATTCAACTTTGTTTTCAGGTTTGGCCCCACCTACCCCTAAACAAGCTCTATGCTGTGATGTGTTATATATTCAACTTTGTTTTCAGGTTTGGCCCCACCTACCCCTAAACCAGCTCTACACTGTGATGTGTTAGGTTTTCAACTTCCTTTTCAAGATTGGCCCCACCTACCCCTAAACCAGCTGTAACTTCCATTTCAGGATTGGCCCCACCTACCCCAAAACAAGCTCCATTATGTGATGTGTATATTCAACTTTGTTTTCAGGTTTGGCTCCACGTACCCCTAAATAAGCTCTATGCTGTGATGTGTTATATATTCAACTTTGTTTTCAGGTTTGGCCCCACATACCCCTAAACCAGCTCTACACTGTGATGTGTTAGGTTTTCAACTTCCTTTTCAAGATTGGCCCCACCTACCCCTAAACCAGCTGTAACTTCCATTTCAGGATTGGCCCCACCTACCCCAAAACAAGCTCCATTATGTGATGTGTTATATATTCAACTTTGTTTTCAGGTTTGGCTCCACATTCCCCTAAACCAGCTCTACGCTGTGATGTGTTATATATATATACAACTTTCAGGATTGGCGCCACCCACCCCTAAACCAGCTTTATGCGTATACGCTGTGTTGTGTTATATATATACAACTTTGTCTTCAGGATTGGCCCCACCTACCCCTCAACCAGCTCTAGGCTGTGATGTGTTATTTATTCAACTTCGTTTACAGTATTGGCCCCATCTACCCATAAACCAGCTCTAGGCTGTGATGTGTTATATATTCAAGTTGTTTTCAGGTTTGGCCCCACCTACCCCTCAACCAGCTCTAGGCTGTGATGTGAAGGCTGATGTTGTATTTGTTGTGGATTCATCAACAAGTGTAGGCAAGGGAAATTTCCAAGAACAGGTAAAAGCCTTCATCAATCCTGATATGAGTACAGTGTAGTATATATGTACAATATAAAACTTTTGTTCATAAAATGTAACACTTTTGGACTTTCTCAGAATGACATTTTTCAATGTGTTAAACTTTTGTACCAGGAATTAAAAAACAATATAGAATTAAAACAAAAAACGAATTGTTTCAGTTAAAAACAATAAACAAATCATTTCATTTCACAACCTAACACGAATAACAGATTGGACTTCTTTCCGCGAAATGTTATCTGATAAACTCTCAAATTGGTCACTAAATGATTTTAGTAATGTCAATGAAGCGTGGAAAAGCTGGAAAACTATTCTAACTGAGGTTGCAGATACAACTATTGGTAGAAGCCTTATTAACCCTAAACTCCGCCACTTTTGGGATGATGAATTAAAAGTCCTGATCAAAAGTCGTAAAGATGCGTGTCGTCTTCATAGATATATGAGTAAAGTCAAATCTGTTGACCCAAATGTTATTTTAACATTATGGGAGTCCTACTTAGATCGTAAAAATAAAGTAAAGGACCTTATAAGGGAACGTCATGTGAAGAATCATATCAAAACTATTACCAAAAATTCACTACGTAAATCTTCATCATCTAGATCTTTTTGGCGAACCCTCCAAATGTTTAATGCTAAAAGTAAATTCCCAAATGAAATCATTGACCCATTTAACCCCAACTCTACGATTGACGACCCCAAATTAGTTTCCCATACGATTGGCAAATATTGGGCAAATGTCGGACCCAAAAGTAGAAACCCCAACTATGTCAAGACCAATCTGTCTGATGAACTAAATAAACTTGAAAGTGAAACCAAATTTTCTCCAAATTGTTTGAACCATTTTATCATATCCGAAGCAGAAGTTTTGAGGAAAATCAATAACTTGAAAAATGGAAAGGCAAGCGGCAATGATCATATTCCCAATGAATTTTTGAAAAATGGCGGGGACTCTATAGTTTCTTCCATTTCAAAATTGTTTAACTTTTTCAAACTTATGGAAACTATCCCAGATGATTGGTATGAAGGAACCATTAACCCCATTCATAAAGATAATGATCGTAAAGAATTAGGTAATTACCGAGGCATCACAATCACGTCCAACCTGTATAAACTATATGCTAGCATTTTAGAAACGGAAATAATGACCTTCCTAGAAGAAAATAATCTGCTTGGTGACTACCATGGTGCCTTCCGTAAAGGTAGGCGTCTGGAAGACAATATTTTCACTCTTTAAGGTATATGTAGTCTCCGTAGGGATAAAAATCAAAAGACTTATCTAGCTTTCATCGATATATCGAAAGCCTTTGACGTTATTGACCGTGAACAACTCTTTATATCTCTTTGGAAGAAAGGAATCCAGGGCAAAGCCTGGCGTGTATTGAAAAATCTATACGCATGTGTCAAAAACAAAGTTATATTTGGTAATTTTGGTATTGAATGTTTCGAAGTTGAATCTGGCCTAAAACAGGGATGTGTACTCTCACCTCCTCTATTTACTGTAATTATGACCGATTTGATTGACAGCCTGATCGAAAATGATATGGGTATCCCTTTCAAAGATATAACTCTACCCGCATTGCTTTTTGCAGATGACATCGTCCTCACAGCTACCAGCGAATCTGATCTCTGTAGAATGCTTGATATTACAAACGAATTTGGTAAAAAATGGGGGTTTAGTTTCAGCTCAAAAAAGTCTAAAGTTATGATCATAGGTGGAAAAGTTAACAAACATAAAGTTTGGAAGCTTGGTGAGCTCTCCCTCAATGAAGTAAAAACATATAAGTACCTTGGCGTTTATTTTGACAAAACACTGAAAGACTCGCACCATATTAATAATATTCTTGGTTTAAAATCAAAAAAGCTCAAAGGTTATATAACCTCAACCCTCAACAAACATTGTAATATCCAACGAATTCAATTTGGTAACACCATGTATAATAACATGTTCCTTCCTTCAATATTGCATGGAGCAGGAGTCTTCCTTCCAAACACAAGCGAAATGAAGAAAAATTTAAAGTCGTATCAATACCAAGCTGGTTTATCCATTCTTAGCCTTAAGTGTTCCCCAGCTTATGAAGCCCTTGTCTGTGATATGGGCTGGCGTCCAATTGAAAAGATCTTTCAAAAACGTCAAATTGACTATTTCTGCTATCTAAAGAATAAAAACTCACAAACCCTAGTATCTAAGGTTTTATCTGCCCTCTTGGAATCATATTCAATAAATAAAGAATCTAATTGGAAGTATGTTTCTAACATAGCAAATATATTAGTGCACCATGGGCTCGATAATAAATTAAATGTTAATTCTGAAGAATGGTACTCATCCTTTCTCAATATTTCCAACGAAATTACTACTAAGGAATTGTTTTCATCAATTTGCGACAGGCCATCCCTATCCCTTTATAGAAATGTTAAGAGACATGTCTTTCAAGAAGAATACCTAAAAAAACCATTCAACTTCCAAGGAGCAAGACAAAAATTCTTAGCCAGGTCGGGTTGCTTTAAATTAGAATCAGACCTTAAAAGGTGGAATAAAAGTGATGGCTTTTGTAAATTATGCCCCTCCAATTCTTATGACTCTATGTCCCATCGCCTGTTCCTTTGCCCCGTCCTCCAGGATAAAAGAAACCTATTCATTAACAATTTAATCTCTTCATGTGACGTTGCCCTTGTAGGTGAATACTTATCAGCGAGCCTTAATGATAAGCTACAATGGATTATTGGTGATTCACTTTACATAGGCACATGGGGGCAGGACCAAATAAATAAATTTGAGAAATGTGTTTACGAATTTTTAAAGGAAATGTATTTTTAATGATTTTAACCTATTGTATGTATGTGTTTTAGTCTCTTTGGATGCACACTAAATTTTAGTAGTGCCGCTGTTGTAAAAGCGTTTTATCCTAATAAATAAATAAATAAAAAAAAAAAATAATAAATAAAAATATTCAAATCATAACTTTGCTTTTAATTGAAGTTGGGAAATTCGTAATTCTTTAAAGCATGTTCTATAGCGAGATATATTTATTCATTTGGCTTAGATCTAGCAAAAAAACTACAGTGAATTACCTTTAGAAATATTGAGTAATAATTTCGCGATTTGATTATTAAAAAGAAAGCACAGAAAGTTTACAATATTGAAAGCAATATTTTCTATCCAAATGCTGGTGTGTTCCTTGTGATCACTTGAAATCAGAAAAGAAGAGAGATTTTGTCAAATATTAGATTAAAGATGCAGAAATGTTTAATTCTTTAGCTTGTAAACAGTGGACACACTTGCCAAATTAACTTTAAAATCAAGGGATTATATATGAAATAAATGAAACTTGAAACTATGCACAAGTGAAACATCTGTATCATTTGTAGCTTCTTTTTGTCGAACAGCATAAATGTCATCTTTAAATGAGAATTTCTTTATTTTCAGTTGAGATTCCTTGAAAACATAGTATCTTCACAGAACATAGATGGCGGTAATGTGCGTGTTGGTGCATTGACTTACAGTAGCCGTGTAAAAGTTCATTTCAATCTGAACGAATATAATAAACTTGAAAGTCTGCTCAATGCTATCGGGTAAAGTATAATCCATATAACTGAAAATATTTTGGTTTTTATGTCGCCACCACCTATTCTCCAGCATTTGGCAGGTGGCGGTTGGCATCTGTAACAAATGGTAGGTGGTGACATTTTGCATGTTAATACCTTGTTTTATTCTGTCATAACCATTTTATTATAATATAATATAAATAAATCAGTGGCTATACATGATATTTATTCAAAAAATTAACAAAATACTGTGCAGAATTCACTTTTTCACAATTCCAGCCTACATAATAGTTGGAGTTCATTTGGCCATTGTACTATTGTGTCATCGCCCAGGAATCTTTATGCAAAAAAGTTACAAAAATGATAATAAGCCTGCATTGAAAAAACAATACATGTGCATGTTGTTAAAATTCCACTTCACTTTATTTGTTTAGTGCCAAACTATATAAATCTAAATCTAAACAATATTTCAAATGACATGACCTAGTTAATTTGGATTATAGTTGATAATCAGAGCCTCAGCATGAAAGTGAAAAAGAAATTCTATAAAAAGTGCTTTTGGTGCACTTCTCACTTGAGGTTCAACACATTGTAATCACTTCTGGTTTTAAGCTATGAATTATTTTATATAGGCTTAGAATCTAAAACAACAGGCCTGCTACCCTGAATAATAAAAATTTGGAAAGAATATTGAAAAAACATTTGTATGAATAAATAAAATACTGTATAAAGTACACCTTCTGGATCTTAAGACATATCGAGTAATAAGGATATATTTTTATGTTAAACAAAGAAAAAGATATACATCTATGTTGGCAATAAAAATACATGTATATAAACATATTAAAATTACAGTATTTTGGACCTACCGTTGAATCTATTGAAAATGCCTAGATAGTATTTATTTAATGAATAAGGAAAGTATAAGTAGCTAAATTATCACCTGATACTGATACCTGATACTATTGTCGTGTTTAGGTATGTTGTGTTTGTTATTACAGATCAATTCCTTACTTATACGGAAGTACCAATACAGCTGATGGCTTACTTGAAATGTACAGAGAAATGTTTACTGAGGCTAATGGCGACAGACCAGGTACATTAATTCTATTTTTATACATTTAATTCTCTCATATTCTGGATTTCTCCATAGAAATGATTGTAGACTGTTAATAAATTCACTTATCTAACTTTGGTCTATTGTTAACTTTTATCAAAGTGCTATATTGTCTTTATGTGCTTCTGGGTGGGTGAGCAGATGCCACTTTTGTCTGCAGAATTCAAGGAAAACTAAGTATACACACACACTCAACATGAAATTTTTACATTTCCAAGAGCAGACTACACTTGGAGGAAGTGTAAGTTGTCACTCATTACTTTTTGTGACTGAAATTCCCTGCAAAATTCCCCCACTCAGGAACCTAATTTCCTGATTTTGAGAGAATATGTTTGAGAAATGATAAAAGGTCAGTGAGGCAAATTAGAAGGTGGTAGTCAAATAACTACAGAGTTGATTTTGAACTGTGAAGTGCAGACATGACTTCAAAATCACCAAAAAGTCGAGTGACAATCTACATTTCCTTCAAGCTTAGTACCAAGATCTGATTAGATTTAGGGCATGCTTGGAAAATTACATGGCAGCCATTTTGCTCTTCTTAGTGCAAGATTTGTCACTGTGTGTCTTTTCTAAGTGCAATATTTGTCACTGTGTGTCTTTTCTAAGTGCAATATTTGTCACTGTGTGTCTTTACTAAGTGCAATATTTGTCACTGTGTGTCTTTTCTAAGTGCAATATTTGTCACTGTGTGTCTTTGCATTTCAGATGTTCCTAATATAGCTATTGTTGTGACTGATGGCGTCTCTAATGTAAACAGGAGACGAACCTTACCAGAGGCTAGAGCTGCACGTGCTTTAGGTATTCACATCTTCGCTGTGGGCATTGGTCTAAGTGGCCAATCAGATGAGTTGGATGGATTAGCAACACCCCCTATTGAGAAAAACAGATTTCTTGTTGATGACTTTGAGGACCTGAAAAAGATTCAGTCTGCCATTGTTAACACTTTTTGTGCAGGTGAATTGTTTAACTATTTTTCATGATGTTCAAGGAAGATGAGATGGCTTATAGAAAAGATTTACTCTTTAGTTTGTGTGTGGGAAATATGTAATTATGTTTCTTATAATAATTAATGGATGATATAATATAATTGTTACAATATACATGTATGTGTAAAATGAGTTAGAAATATAATAGCCCTAAGATATTTAACTCCTTCATGACTGACAATTTTGGGGAAAATGGAAAGAAATGAAAAACTGAAATGTAAATGAATCTAGAAGCAAGAAAAGGAAGCAACACCCAATAAGTTTTATGTCATTTTGAAGGGCTATACCCATACTTTATGTTTTTTGAAAAAAATGTGAATATGCAAATGAGATAGTGTCATTGTGACGTCATAATTCAAGATGGCGCAGTTGGATTTTTTTCAAAATATAATTATTTTAGCATTTAATTTTTTATTGAGACTTCAATTTAAAAATCTGGAAACGCAGAATTATAGATCTTCTTATGCTGATTTCAGTGGTATTTATACCATGACATAACTCCTACAAATAAATTTTTTAGAGCTTCGAGACTGCAAATTCTCGGAAAATCCCTATGGCGATTTAACAGGGGATTTTATCGTTTTCGCAATTTTTCGCGCGCTAACCATCTTTGGATCACTGTAACTTTGTAAATACTTAACGAAAAGTCATGAACTTTTTTTTAAAATGTTTGTACAGACTTCAGGATTAAATAAATTGATAAATCATGCATTTTTATCATCAGGGGTCCCTTGGAGACCCCTTAGAACAAAATCGATCATATATGATCGATTTTGTTTCTTGCTATTCTAAGGGGTCTCCAGGGGCCTTATTTCAATAAAACTGCAAGAATAATGCATTTTCTAAAAGAATGGACCAGTAGGAACATTTTAAAAAAAAGATTGTTTGAATCTGATGACTCTGTGCAAAGTTAGAGGCACTTGAATCTGACATGTCGCGAAAAAGTATCGAAAACGATAAAATCCCATGTTAAATCGCCATAGGGATTTTCCAAGAATTTGCAGTCTCGAAGCTCTAAAAAAATTATTTGTAGGAGTTATGTCATAGTACAAATACCACTGAAATCAGCATAAGAAGATCTATAATTCTGTGTTTTCAGATTTTTAAATTGAAGTCTCAATAAAAAATTAAATGCTAAAATAATTCCATTTTAAAAAAAATCCAACTGCGCCATCTTGAATTATGACATCACAATGACACTATCTCATTTGCATATTCATATTTTTTTTCAAAAAAAAATAAAGTATGGGTATAGCCCTTCAAAATGACATATAACTTATTGGGTGTTGCTTCCTTTTCTTGCTTCTAGATTCATTTACATTTCAGTTTTTCATTTCTTTCCACTTTCCCCAAAATTTTCAGTCATAAAGGAGTTAAGCTGGAATTAACTGATCTGTGTAGATCATTTACTATTTTGGGGCATTTCATCTGCTATTTCTGAATAACTATGTTTTGTACGACAGCAGACAACTGTGAAAGTAAATCTTGAGCCTTTACAAGTTGAATTTATTTATTTAGAAATTCAGGCCACCAAGCGACCGCTGATTCCCCCTGTAGCAAATGCAGGTGAAGATAGGGAACTTCAACTTCCACTAGAGGAAGACCTCTACCTTGATGGCACAGCAAGCACAGATGACCTCAAGATTGTCATATATTCTTGGGAACAAATTGGGTATGAATATGATGTAAGAGTGTCCCAAAAGTAAAATAACATTGAATGCAACTGAAAAAAATATCAAGTGAAGAATAAACAGTAATTACTAAATATTGGAACATTGTATCATTATCGAGGTATGATGCTTCAGGGACACTTTTAAAATAAAAATACCTTAATACCCTACAACTTATATTTTAAGCATATTTTAAAGATGATTGTGCATCTTTATATTGTCATACTAGATAGTGCTAGGTCTCAAATAAGTGGAGCACTCACTTGTTTAACATTCCAAGTCCGAATATTTAGAGTGAAATATAAAAGTGTTTTTTTTATTAAGCATATTGATAGTATACAAGGATGAATTAAGTGAGAGACATGTCATGTGTACATGTACAGCCTATATGGGTTTCATTGCATATTTCTAGGGGCCCCTCTCCAGTGTTCATTGAACCTAAAGATGCTGCTCAACCATTGCTAGAGGGACTCAACCAACCAGGAGAATATGAGTTTGAACTGACTGTCTATGATGAGGACAAGTTACTGGATAAAGATGCTGTAAAAATCAAAGCTCTAAGTAAGTTAACATTTTTAATGTTAACTTCACTGTAGATTTGTGTAAAGCGAGAGCAATGTATTTGGTAAATGAAATGAAAAAGTGATGATGAAAAGTCATTGCATCAGAAGAAGATGGAATGTATTTATTGTATACATGGACATCAAGAGACCATTTTTAGGTATTTCTGGGGATAAAATCCAAATCCAGAATCATAATTAGTGACTACGAAACATGTACAGTGTTAAATATTTGTACCAAAGTATGCTGACTCATTAGAGATAAAAAGAATGTAAAACATTATATATATTTTCATCGATGTTGGCAAATTGTGCATGCATAAAACTAACTTATGAACCCCTATAAGACCTCTATTATAGCTTATGGTGCTTTTGGGATCATAAGTTACAAGTACCCCACCCTGTAGCCCACCCACGTTTGCAAGTGTTGATGTAGTTCCAATCAGTGAGTACTTTCACAGCATAGTTTAATATTGCAAGTCTACAAACATGTATTTGCATTATGTTTATTTGCACAGAAGCCAATGAGCCTCCTGTTGCTGATGCTGGACCTGATAGGGAGATAACTGTTACTGATGACTGTGTGGATCTTGATGGTACAGCCAGTACTGATGATAAAGCTATTGTCTTTTGGATATGGGAAATACTCTCAGAGTAAGTCATTAAAACATATTCAACCACAGCTAAATTAAGTTCATACTTGAAATTACCAACATCCTGAGAAAATTGCTCATTTTATAAGTGGCTTGGCTTATACAATTTTCAATAAAGCAATTAGTTTAAGGTCTGAATTTTACAGAAAAGGTTTGTCACAAAGACTATTGATGGATTAGTTACAGATTATTCAGAATTTTTTAAGGATCAGAACCATTTTTAATTAAAATAAAAGGACGTTATTATATTGAAGTATCTAAACTGCCATCATATCAAAGGCTTATTATGTGATCCAATTTATCGAGAATGGTAGTGAAAAACTCTATTCTATTCTCCTCAATTATCAAAAAAAGAAAGACAGTCCTTTATCAATAATTTTCAATAAAATGTTGATGTTTTTTAGGGATGCACCATCTTTGACTCTGTCTAAAGAGGATGAGGCAGTTGTCACAGTGTGTGGGTTCACTGGTGTTGGGGAATATGAGTTCATCCTTAGGGTGTTTGATGAAGATGAAAGAGACTCATCTGATACAGTCAAAGTTACAGTTATAAGTAAGCATCATTCCCCAGGTGCTCCTCAGATATTCTCAATTAGCACAGTTTTGTCCAAGTTGGTCAAAATGTAGCAATTTTTCATGATGTTTCTCATTTTTATTTGGTGCAAAAAGGGTTCATGTAGGGTGCAAACATCCTATTTTTAGAACTCAATGCAAGTTAGCTTGTTGACAGAAAAATTCTCTTGCAATTCAGAGATTTCACACCTTTTTTATGTTCATCAATTTTTTAATGCTGTACTGTTATATTTCACTTTCATGTCATGGAGGTATCATTATTTGAATATTTACACGTTTGAGCATATCGGGACTTGAGATCATTCCACAACATAACTCTACAATACAAAGACACCAATATGTGATTATTTCTATACTAGATCCCAACCAGCCACCTGTAGCAGTAGCAGGTCCAGACATTGAGATTACTCTGCCTGAGGACTGTGTTGACCTGGATGGTACAAAGAGCAGTGACGACAAAGGGATTGTCTTCTGGATATGGGAACAGCTTGATGGGCCAGAGACGGGAGTATTCTCGAAGCCAGAAAACCCAAAGACCAAACTTTGTGGTCTTAGTACCCCTGGGGAGTACACTATAAAATTGATTGCATTTGACGAAGATGAAATGGATGATATGGATACCTTGAAAATTAGAGTAATCAGTAAGTCTTAGGAAGATTTGGAATTTGGAAATCTTTCAAATATCTGGCTATTATAAGTTTTAAGACAAATCTGTCATCATAACTTTAAGAAGTAACTTAAGGAAGCAAATGTCTGAAATTGTGTTTTTCATTATTCATTATTATTATTCATAATAATGTGAATGCGACCACATCAAAACTGAGCTCTTTTGAACAACAAAAACTGTGCTTATAGAGGAGAATCTGCCCCCCATTGCCAATGCTGGCCCAGATCAAGAAATCACTGTTCCTAAAGAATGTGTTACACTTGATGGAACCAAGAGTACAGATGATGTTCAAATAGTATTTTGGATATGGGAACAATTGAGGTTAGACTTAATTCACAAGGCTTGGGTTGATTTTCAAGACAAGTAGCTTTACAGTTAATCCTGTAGTGACAACCTTAATATTTATAGCTTTAGGAGGGGCTTATACTTGTACATTGATGAAAGACTAATTCTACCTTTGAAACAAACGTTTTTGAACTTTTCTATTCCATTATTTTGGGCACTCATTCCTTATCTCGACAGAATCCTCCCCCATTATGCATTTAGACCCCAATTTGACATTTACATGTAGATCCCCGTTTGGCATTTAGAACCCCATATTTGGCATTTAGAACCCCATATTTGGCATTTAGAACCCCATATTTAGCATTTGACTTAAGTCTGCATTCGTAACATGTAGAGAAAACAGTACATAGTGCATATAGTACTTTTAAAGTTTTCACAAAGAGGGGATGTTAAAACTGGTTAAATTCAGCTCAGTGGACCAATCTGAGGAAATATATTCCAAACAGAGGGACAGGTTCTCTCTATCAGTGTATACTGTACTGGTCTAGCCATTAAAAAATTGATCGTATATCAACAAACTGCCTTTACTTGATACTTGGCAAAATGTGTCATCCAAAGAATTTTGAGCTTATTCTTCTTCCAAATGCAGGGCTTTAGACATCATCCACACTTCTTAAATGAAGAGGGAAGAAATCTAAGGAACAAGGTGTATGATGTCTTGAGCCATGTGTTGGGAGGTTGAGGCTCCTTATTGCTTTACCATGTAGGATCTTAGAAAACAACCAAATGCCTTTCTTTCGTTTCCTATACTATAGAGTCCTTAAGTAATCATTTGAAATATCGTAAAACCTGTGATTGAGTCCCACTTTCATATACTTCCATATATACTAACTTGTATGAATGCTTATAACTTACAGTCTTATATTAATACTGCTGTATAAATAATAGTACTAACTCACCATTATTGCTTTGACAGTGCGCGTGAACCAAGGACCAGTGGTTAATGTTATAGGTGATGTAACAATAGTTTTACCCATAGAATGCACTCTAATAGATGGCAGTAATAGCACTGATGATATTGGTGTAGTACGCTGGCAGTGGATGCAGCTTGGGTATTGCTTTTATTAAATCTTAGTGTGGATTTGCAAGTGTTTGTTCCTCTATTAACCTGTGTGGTTCATGTTACAGTATGTAATTATTGGGAAGGGGAGGGGGTAAGAGTTCAGAATTCGGTGGCAAGGGATTGATCAATGTGGACCATCCTTTCCCTGACATATAATAATAATGATGTTGATATGTATAAATGCTCTAAGTTTAAAATGGTCTCTCATCTTAAAATCTATAGTTCTGTTTTTCATAAGTTAATTGTCATTCATTTACTTTTAATATACCTCCAAGTGATTTGGTTTTATACTATTTATTTAAGTTAATCTTGGAAATAATCTATTATCATCAAGACAGAGGATATTTAAATTGCCCTCTAGAAATAGAGTTATACTAAGTCCATTACTATGATATTTCAGTGGTCCTGAGACTGCAAAGTTTGCCCAGGAGGACTCACCAACAACTGAGGTATGCGGCCTCACAACACCAGGAGAATATGAGATAAAACTGGTTGTCTTTGATGAAGATGAAGTATTCGATGAGGACACAATGACAATCATTGTAAAAGGTTGGCTGATTTCTACCATTTGCAATAGTTTGATTTTAATTATTTAAAAGAGAGCTTCATCAATTTAATGAACTCTGAAATTTCAGAGTAGGTGACTTAAATATGATGTCATCATCTGTGATCATTTCATACATGTAATGTTGTAAACTTTGAATATATGTAGTGCCCTATCAATGTACAAGTTATATTGTGTGAAAAAAGTACATAGAAAATTAAATATTGATGAAATTAGAGCCATGGGTCCATATATCTCATTTCATAGTGATATCCACTTCAAAGACCTTGAATGCATTTTCATGTACGAGTACATGTACTTGATTCTCGTATAGTTCGTTTAATAACATGTAAAGTTTGTCTGCCAACCTACATTTGCAGATCCTAAGATACCTCCTGTAGCTAATGCAGGGAAGGACAAGGTGATTGTCAGCCCTGAGGACTGTGTCACCGTTGATGGCTCAAAGAGTACAGATGATAAACAGATTGTCTTCTGGAGATGGGAACTCCAAACGTAAGTTTATATTATTTATTAGTATCACTTTATGTTGTTGATGGGTTCATATTGAAACTCTTCTATAATCATGCAAGAAAAGAAAATTTGAAAACTTGAATGAATAGTTAATAACCGAATGTTATTAATGTATTACAGTCAACGATTCATGGTGACCTTGTATATATTTGTAAGACCTACTTCAATTCATATCATTGGATTAAAAGAAGGAACAAGGCCAAGTTAACATCATTATATATTTTCGTTCTGATTTCCAGTGCCCCTGGTCGTGTTGCAAGACCCAAGATTAAATCCGAAGACACACCTAAGACTGGAATCTGCAACCTTGAGATTGGAGAATATATCTTTGAATTGATTGTGTTTGATGAGGATGAACTCTCTGATACTGATACAGTTACTATCACTGTCATTAGTAAGTTTACTGTCTCTGTAATACTTAACTCTGTACTCTGTAAACTGTTTATTGTCCCTGTCTTGGATTCTATATGACAATATGATATGTTTTGCAGTCTTAGGATCCTATCTGACTTTTCTGTTATAGTCATTCCAAACTGATTTTGCTGTCTTTTCTTAGTTGTTCAATTGTTTGTCCCAAATTGATGAACCCATAATTTCCATTTTAGAGGGCAATGCTCCATTTAATGAATTGTTTGTCCCATATGGATGAACCCATGATTGCCATTTTAGAGGGCAATCCTCCATTTAATGAATTGTTTGTCCCATATGGATGAACCCATGATTGCCATTTTAGAGGGCAATGCTCCATTCAATGAATTGTTTGTCCATATTGATGAACCCATGATTGCCATTTTAGAGGGCAATGCTCCATTTAATGAATTGTTTGTCCCATATTGATGAACCCATGATTGCCATTTTAGAGGGCAATGCTCCATTTAATGAATTGTTTGTCCCATATTGATGAACCCATGATTGCCATTTTAGAGGGCAATGCTCCATTTAATGAATTGTTTGTCCCATATGGATGAACCCATAATTGCCATTTTAGAGGGCAATGCTGCATTTAATGAATTGTTTGTCCCATATTGATGAACCCATGATTGCCAAATTAGAGGGCAATGCTCCATTCAATGAATTGTTTGTCCCATATTGATGAACCCATGATTGCCATTTTAGAGGGCAATGCTCCATTCAATGAATTGTTTGTCCCATATTGATGAACCCATAATTGCCATTTTATAGGGCAATGCCCCATTCAATGAATTGTTTGTCCATATTGATGAACCCATGATTGCCATTTTAGAGGGCAATGCTCCATTCAATGAATTGTTTGTCCCATATTGATGAACCCATGATTGCCATTTTAGAGGGCAATGCCCCACCTGTGGCTGATGCAGGGGCAGACCAGGTTATTACACTACCAGAGAACTGTGTCATAGTTGATGGCAAGGAATCTACAGATGATGAGGCAATTGTTTTCTACATTTGGGAACAGAAAGGGTAAGATGTTTATGTTTACACCCATTTACCATAATAGCATTGCTCCTTTTGTATGGCATTTTTCTGATCATTTTAATGAATTAATCCATTTTTGGCTGATTATTTCAATTTAAAAATAAATAGCAATATAATAGCCTCTTTTTAAAGGTAACATAGTGAAATCTTTGCCCAAGTATATTATGACATAATGAAATTATGTTTCATTCAATGACATGTCACATAATTTCTAGAGGACCAGCAAAGACAGATATATCTGACCAAGAAGCTGAGAAAACAGAGATATGTGGCCTGACTATACCTGGAGAGTATGAGTTCCAGCTGTTTGTCTCTGATGCTGATGAAGCTGATGATACTGACAGAATGAAGGTCACAGTCATAAGTAAGTCAAATTCTTGAATACTTGTGGAGGGAGATTGTTTTTTCTGTATAAGATCATAGTGGTTTGAGATATTTAAAATTTTTGATGTTATGATTATTGGCTATCAATTTTCTTCAACATGTATTGTATGAAGAAGGGGGTGTTAGACATTATTTCTTTTCATGTTAGATCATGGTTTGGGTTTGGACCTTTCCCTTCGGCACATCTTCGAATTCCAAGGTGGAGCAACTGAAACCTTGTGAATCAAGATGCTTAGGCACTTATGCTTAGATATTTAATTGTGGTCTTAGTCCTCTAGACCAATATCTTTACATGATAGCATACAGCTTGTAAAAATTTTCATTTTGTGTTGCAAATTATTTAACCTCTTGTTGTTTCAGAGAGCAATAAGCCCCCAGTGGCCGATGCTGGGCCTGACCAGAGAATTACTCTACCCAAGGAGTGTGTGGAGCTTGATGGAGGAAAAAGTTCTGATGATGAAGCTATTGTCTTCTGGAGATGGGAACCTCGAGGGTAATATTAAATAAAACTCATATTATTATCATAGTCAGAGACTTCTGAATTTCCTTGCAGATCTTGAATATTGTACATTTCTTTTTCCACTTGCTATTAAGTCACTTTGGAGCATGAAGTACTCAGGTTTTAATTCATCTCTTTGATTGCCTTAAAACATAATGTTAAAAGAATGTGTATAATATAATAGTATTTTTATGATCAAATTGCCTGAACTCTGGGGACATGCGAAATGTTATGATATTTTTTTAATTCCAATTGAACCATCACTGCACCAATCTAATATAATAGGGTATTACAATGCATAATGCACAGCACATATTATGAAACAATGTACAATCATTTTTGAAACTTGAATAAAACATTCACACTGTATGATGAATATTTCTACAACTTTACAGTGGACCTGGTGAGCCTAAGATATCCTCAGATGATGAGTCTAAGACAGAAGTATGTGGGCTCACAAAGGAAGGAACGTATGAGTTTGAACTGATTGTCTTTGATGAGGATGAACTGTCAGATACAGATACAGTAAAGATCATAGTTGAACGTGAGTGCCATTTTTTCTCTTTGCATTATTTAAACATATGGGAAAACAATCATTCTGTTTCATACCTACTCAGTTGAAAATTTGAGTGAAATGACTATGTTATCAGTTTTATATTATATTTTATTTATATTGGAGTGTGTACCCAATGTGTGTTTACTTTAATCCTTGCTGTTTCACCTCTTCATTATTCTGTTTTGTGTCTCTAAACATAATCAGAATGGCTTTTGTCTTATTTCTTATCTTGATGTAATTAGGTAGATGTGAAAAGTACATTTTTATAAACATTTCTGTGACACATATCTGATAAAAAAGGAAATTTGTGATATACTGTATATTAAATGTATGGTTCAGTTTTATATTATAAACACTTCTAAGAACCCCATATGAAATGTGTTTAGAGGTCAGAGTGTGCCGTTTATAATGGTATTAGTATGGAACCTGATCTTTCAATTAAGGAGGTTATTTACATGAGGGCCTTGACATTGTAATTATTTCTTTTCTCATTTACTTAAGATTTATTGGAATCGTAACACCATTATTAATGATATACAACATATTTGGTTGATTGAAGGAAAACAATTTTGTTTGACAAAAGATGTCATTTCAGATTCATGCATAACAATCATTTTGTACTCAGTTCATTTTTTGGAGTCAAACATTTACACCCAAATTGGAGAAGATGTGTGTATGTTTATGGCTGAAAAATCGAGTAAGGAAGGGGGATGTTATAGACATTATTTCTTTTCATGTAAGATCATGGTTTTGGGATATACAGTATAGGGTCTATTTCTCTTGTGATAGGTTTACATTTAGAGTTTGCTTTTCTTGTGAGGTTTCTTTAAAGTTTTTGGTCCTTTCCTTTTGGCATTTGTGCCCAGATTTTATATGATCATTAATGATATTGTACTATATTAGAAAGGTTTGTGAAACCACTATTACCCCCTTTGTGTTTAATGTATTAATTTGGGTAAAAATAATGAGTTGATTGATCTTATAGTTGTTGTGTTTAGTAGTTGGTCTCACTCCCAGACAGAAGGTCACCTCATGCGACCCCGAGAGGATATGATCTCAGGGGAGTCTGAGGCCAGACCATTTACTAGTTTGTTTCACTTCATGTGATTGAGAAAAATATGTTCTCAGGAATAGTCTCAGGCCAGACCATTTACTAGTTTGCTTCACCTCATGCGACCCTGAGAGGATATGATCTCAAGGGAGGCCAGACCATTTACTACTTTGCTTCACCTCATGTGATTTAAAAAGTTTGATCTCAGGAATAGTCTCAGGTCAGACCATTTACTAGTTTACTTCACTTCATGTGATTGAGAAAAATATGATCTCAGGAATAGTCTCAGGTCAGACCATTTACTAGTTTTCTTCACTTCATGTGATTGAGAAAAATATGATCTCAGGAATAGTCTCAGGCCAGACCATTTACTAGTTTGCTTCACCTCATGTGATTGAAAAAATATGATCTCAGGAATAGTCTCAGGCCAGACCATTTACTACTTTGCTTCACCCCATGTGATTGAGAAAAATATGATCTCAGGAATAGTCTCAGGCCAGACCATTTACTAGTTTGTTTCACCCCATGTGACAGCATGAGAGAATATGATCTCAGGAGGAGTCTGAGGCCAGACCATTTACTAGTTTGTTTCACCCCATGTGACAGCATGGGAGAATATGATCTCAGGAGGAGTCTAAGGCCAGATCATTTTTTATTTACTAGTTTGTTTCACTTTATGTGACAAATGGCATATGATCCCAAAAGAAGTTTCTGGCTGGCCGATATACCCGTTTGGTTCACTTTACATTTGCTTCTGTTTTATAGAACTGTATGAGTCTGTTTGACGGATCAACTCTTGCTGTGCTTAGATCTTAGGAGTCCAGACCATTCACTAAGTTGGTTTTAACTTGTCTTCTGTTGTATAAAGCTTTGATAGCTGGTCTGAAAGAAGGTCAAGTTATGAGACAAGATCAGGGGATTTTTAGGCAATACCATTATACTACTTTGGTTCATATAACCATTTTTATCTCATTGAGCTTATTGGCTTGCATTGAGACATATGGCCAATAATGAGGATATGATTGCAAGTAAGAGTAGCAGTAAATATGACACCAGCCTCTGCTTTTATCTGAAATAAATCTTCTATACTATGAAAAATGGACAAAATGAACCATTATTATAACCATTATTATAATGATGAAAAATAAATCATTTTGACAGTAAACAGATCATTAGTCCAGGTTCTTGGCTGATTTGTGGAATTTAATGCATGGCATTGACCCTGGTATTATGTTTTCCAAAACTAGGTAATGCACATGCTGTCTCTTACCCTTTGCAATACATTATCATTATTTACACTCTAAATTAAAATTGATTCTTTTTGATTTAGTCTGTGAATCCCTGTATTACATTTTTTGCTCATATTTTACATTTGAACTTCCATATAAGGCCATAACATTTTCCTGAAGGCTTCCCATGAAGTGGATGGAGCCCTTCACACTATGGAACGGGGTTGAACCATTCATGTGACTTCCGGTTCCATAAGTCCCACCTTTATTAGCTTATATGGCAACCATCAAGGCGACTACCAATTCGTCATATGATTTGATTGTGATTTGAAGATATGACGTATCACAAAAACATCAGTCACATATTGCCCCATCAGTAACGAAACAAACAAATAATTTAAATGATTTGATTCTATATTGATTAAATATGTGATGTCATTAACATGTTACGTAACCAACAACAAAACAAGCATTTACTTTTGTTCCTTGTCTGTGTTATCTTTGTATAAAAAGTGGATGTTTTCTCCAAATCATCATCATTTTGTACTAATCAGAGGGTACCTATTATTACTTAGTTTAGAACACAGGGTGGCTGTCTGGATGTAGGATTCTGAAAAAGTAGGTATTCTGTTATGAGTCTACTGTACATTGTTGCATGTGGTCTTCATTGGTTTCATCGCCATGTCTGAACAAAAAATTGTGATAGCAAAAAATTGTGATAACATTAAAGAAACATTCCAATCAGGCATTATCTGGGTTAACATGGTCATAATAACCACATCTAGACAGAAAAGAGTTAAATGCAATATTCCTTGAAGGCTTTCATGATTGAAAAACTTTTTGAAAAGTAATTTATGTTCAGGAAATTATGGGTCAAAAAGCAAAAGTCTACCCCTGGTTAGAATTAAACAGACATAACTAAAATGCCGAAAATGTCTGCCTCTTCATAATTTCACACTCCTCAAGAGTGGAAACAATTACAAAAATATATTAATCTTAATTATAAAGTATTTTTCGCAGGAGGAACGAGGGCTCCTAATAACTGCTTGTTAAGTTTAGTGGTTTGTTGATGCTTGTGTTTTTTAATGGAATCCTCGTAGATTTAGACTTGGGTGGAAAGGTTTACTGGTTATTCTGCCCTAGTGCTCTTGCTGTTATTTATGGCTAATTGTAAATCCATGGAAACTAAAAAGATTGTAAACAAATATGGACAGTTGTAGTACATTGTATTCTACATCTGCTTGCGGTACTGTTAGAGGGAACTAAAAGCAAAATAATGCCTACTAATCACACATCTTCCTTCACTCAGCTCCCATGGTAAATTTTCTTTGATGACACCCATTACCATGGCTAAACCCTAAAATAAATCAAAGACCTGATTCCTGAGATGTTTTTCTTGGTAATAAACACCCATGTGCATTGATTCTCATCATGGCAATTATTTGAAAAATTAGAATGCTTCCCTGGAGTTAGGAAGTTTCTGAGTTTATACAATGATTTTTATTTATGACATATTAATTTCCATGGTGCTGTAAATCACTAAACAATGAAAAATAAAATGTAACTGGTAGGTGAACTTGCATTAAACAAACCATGATGCAGTAAATCCAGATATTTTTTAACTCTTTTTGAGCGAAAAATGGAATAATTTCTCTCGTAACTCTTATAATCATTATTTTGAAGGTAACTTTCAAAATAACACATTTGGGCTACTTAACATTGTATCATTACAAAAAATCTTGTTATCTGAGGGAAAATATGATTTCGACCCAGGATATATCATGATTGAGGAAAGATATCAGAATTATTCCAAGGAAAACCCCAACATTACCCTGACCAGAGACAAATGGATCAATTCTTAGTTTTATAAATTAAGATATATGGTTTCACTTTCATTCACTGTTAACAAGACAACAATGTTTATGTCACCAACAAAAGTGGTGACATATTGTTACAAAATTCATCTTTTTATGGATGGTGTCTGGCAGTCAATGGTTGATGTTCAGCAGTCAGCATTTGGCATCTGTAACAAATTACAGGTGGTGACATTTTGCATGTTAATGCCTTGTTATTTTATTTTGTAATTGTAAACAAAATGAGGGTATTTTTCAGTGTTTGGATTGCTAAATATTGGAATGTTTATTTATGTAATTAAGATGTTAATGTTCTGATATTCTTCAGTTTACAATACATGTTAAAGCATACCTTATTCCCCAAATATTGCAGATAACTTGCTGGGATAAATATGTAAACAATTCTCAGATCAAAGGTTACCAAATGCTTCTTATATAGGAAACTGTTGTTTATTGACAAATTCATTAAAAATAAAGTTGAACATGTACATGTTCTCTTAAACCTTTCAAACTAATATATTGTAGACAATGTTTGACAATGTGTATGAAATAATGGAAATTGAAGGAGAATTGACTGCCAATGTTCTAAAAGTATAGGTTACCAGTTGAGAATATTTGACAGAAACTACATGTAGTTCTATACAGTAAAACTTGTCTTAGTGAACACCTCTCTCTAGTTAACACATGTCTCTATAGTGGACACTCTTCCTCCGCACATACTCTACTGACTTCTGTATTTACTTTCTCTAAAGTGAACATCTACCAACTCTGAACATTTTTTCTCAGGAAACAAATGTTCAATATACGCAGGTTCTACTGTATTTGCAATCTTTGGGTTGTAAGACTACAGTATGAATTGAATAATCTAAACTAGACAACAATTACCCTTGCCATTTTTGTTATTGAAATGAGCTTCGGCCTGCATGTGGTGGCATCTCACTTTTCAAACTGCTTGACAGATTGATTTGAAATGTTCAGGCATGTTTTTTTAGTATGAAAATCTAGAACTAAATAATTTTGGGTTTGTGTTTACTGGGTAATTATTAAAATTTACTTTTTTTTGATTTTCCATCACAAAATCTTGTCTTCAAAGTCCCATCTCAGCATTACCAGGTAAACTACTGACAGATTTTCATTTTGAAATTTTTAGGGATGTTTCTTCATATGAAAATCAAGACTTTCTTCAATTTTATACATACTTGGTCAATTTTATGGTGGTCATTTTGAATTTGATAGCCTCCCATGCCACTGACTAGCTAGATTATGCCCATACTATTATTTCTAGGTACAGTATTGTTCACCCTTTGGGTTGTTTATTTATCTCTCTACTATGATAGTTGCTTAACATTGAATACTGTAATCTTCAAAAACATTTTTTCACCAATCCATCATAGGGTTAAAGCCAAGCTACTTAGTATTACATATCATGTTATATCATTTAAGCACTACTTTCTCCACATGATAATTGGTTTCTATGCAACTTCTTTTTTGTTTGTCTGGTATTTGAAGTACCAGGAATTTTTTATCTGAACCTTTGCTGAAAAATGGATCATTCATTCATTTTCTGATTATTTTGTATTTCGTTTTTTCTTAGTGCTTTTCATACATTTTTAAAAGGACAATAGTATACAATTTAGACATGGAGAACTTCAGTTTCCATTCAAAGTTCCAATTATATAATATGTTTGATGCCTTTTATTCTTTCCCATTTAAGTATGGTAGCCATTTGCACTTTATTTCAAGGAAATTAAAATGTTTTATTGATGCATTGTATCAGTTCAGAATAAAATTATATGTAATTACAATTATGCGTTACCCCCTCCCTCCTTCCCTTAATCTGTAGTATCTTTTAATATTGGATCCAATATGGGATGTGATATGGGATTTTGGCTGATATGGGATCTGATGCAGGATGTTTTGAATATCATTTCTATTCCCTGTTTATCTCCCAGGGAAAACATGTTATTATGGAATAAATTTTGGCATTAATTTAATTTAATTTTTGCATTTGGTGTGAATGGGGGTATATTTTATATCCATGCCATGCACTGCCATCTATCCCAAAGTGTTCATGTTGGTGAACAGAGAGCCCCACACAGCTCCAAAAGGCACCACAATAAATCTTATGTGCCCTTATTATCTTGATAGCCACAAGATTTGAAGCTTCATGTCTACATTCTCTGACTACTGGCTCAAAGCTTCAGGTCTATGCTCAGATGCACCATGACGTCACAAAAACTTCAATAGAAAATACTTAATAATGTTATAAATGACATAACATAATACTTAAAAAGTTCAGTTAAAACTTTACACCTTTAGGTCATTTATATCAGGCACTTAAATGATGATGGAAGAATTATGTAAAAAATCGAGCTTGAAGGTAAAACACATGCCAGTGTGGCTTAGCAAATCATTCTTCAAGTTATACACACTCATGCTTAGATGTATGTATCTAAGTCCCCGTCCCACATCTGTCTGCACATTATTATTGTTATTATACATTTATTTATTTATGCGTTGCTAGATTTAATGTAAAACATTGCCATATTACAGATTAGATAAATGTTAATAAATAAAAAGCTGAATCTGAAATGTTGTATTTTACTATGAATCCTAGGTATCAGTTCATAGGTATCCATCATCATGTTTATCTTTTATATTCCCTTATCTTTAACCTGAGAAGTGCCTTATCAGAGATGTAACTGTTAAGGTGAAAAAGTATAAAAGCATTTACAGGAACGGCTTTGGTTCTTTCCTTTCTGTGACACTCAATTTATATTTAGTTTTTTAGCTCCAGCCTGAATCAATTTCTGCTGGAGATTTTAAAACTATCATTTCACATTTTGATATCATCATTTATAAACAAAATAGAGGGAAAATAATCAAGGAATAAGCTAAAAACAGTGGATGTTAAAAGTTTTCCAAAGACAGTGTAAAATAATTTGATGAACAACACAGTTAGATGAAGGAATCCTGAGGGACAATCAAGATTTACAAAACAACGAATAAACGTTGATTTGGTTCAACCCAGAGACAAAATGCATTCCAATACTATACCAAACATTTTTATCATACTTTTTCCATTTTTATTTCACGTGATAGCGGGTAATGAGCCTCCAGTGGCGAATGCAGGAAAGGACCAAATAATACGACTTCCAAACACATGCACGACACTGAGTGGCAAACAATCTACAGATGATGTCAAAGTTGAGGTGTACGTCTGGGAATTTGTGAAGTAAGTAGGAATTATGATCAATTTTAGCTTTTATACAAGAACTAGGCTGGGTTTATTAGAACTTATTCATTGACACTGGGGCTGTGAAGACAAGCTGTTTATCAAAATGTCTCCTTTTCCCATTTTGATACTCACATTATCCCTCTCTCTCTCTTGCATCGTTTAAAGAAAAGAGATTGAGAAGGTGTGACTTACCACAATGATTTCTTGAATTCTCAACTAATTGTCCTCTAAAATGTCCTGGTTGGACATAGTCCCTTGCTAAAACCATGCACTCACTAACCCATTGAAGGATAGTACATTAACTTTAGAACCAGGTATGAGCCCATTAAGGTAGATGTACATTGGTGAAGGATGGCTCAATTCTTTAGAGTACGAGCAATGTATTGAAGCATTCAGGCATTTTTCATATTTTCACAAATATGACAAGGAATGATTCAATAGAGTCCACCCATATAGCTCAGTGGTAGAGCATGTACGTACTACGCAATAGGTCCCAGATTCAATCTCCAGTTCAGGCAATACTTAATTTTCTTGTTTGTTCCAAATATTTGAACATGGTCAACTGAAAATGAGACAGTTATTGTAAACTATTGTTAAACTGTGCCCTAACTCATGAGCGGCATAGGCTTGGAATTGGGATATTTTCAACTAAATTACAGTATAATTTGCAAAGTGACCTTTTTATGTTAAATTTTTCAGGATTTCAGCAATATTTGAACAGTATGGCAAAATCCACATTCTTGATCTTAATTGATTCAAATGTTAAAAACCTACTGCCATCTATGTAGCTTCTTTTAGTACTCTTGTTGTTGGTGTTTGGGTTTCAATTCTCTCCATGTTATGTAAATGCAACTTGACATGTGTGACTGGAATAGACTGTAGAGAGATACTCAGGTAATAAGTAGGGGAATGGACTCTTACTTAAAATACCAGTGAAATTAGGAGCACACGTCAAAAAGAAAATCTAATTCATTAGCATGTGGACCTTTCAAAAATTTCAATCTATTTTCAAACTAATAGGTTGTGCATTAATATTCTGATGTTTTATGATTCATAGAAGGACTAAAGAATTGCCACAAAAAGTTACCTGAGCATCTCTTTCAAAATTGGGTTAACTCAGATTATACAGTTGTAGTTAGAGATAGCAACAAGCAATATTTGTCTCATCCCAAAATCAATTTTGCTCATATCATTCCTTCTTATCAGTGCTTCATACAAACAGAGAAGACTGCTCTAGATTGAAATTGATCCTTGTAAATAATACTATATATAAGAAATAAAGCTGAATTGAATTGAATTGAATTAAGAATGCAGCCCAGTTCCAAGCTTGACAATATCTCAATCTTAAGTGATGACATATTGTTATGGTCTCCAAGGTTTTTGTGACTGTGGTTGGTGTTTGGAGTGTGGCATCTGTTACAAATGGCAGGTGGTGATATTTTGCATTTTAATGCTTTTTTAGTGATTGTTATGCCCATTTTCTGAAAATCATAATAGTCTATATATTATTAGACTCCAGATGAAAATCTGGAGTCTATTGCTTTTGCCAGTTTTCTTATTATTATTCTTTCTTCCTCTTCCTCCTTCCCAGATTTCTCACCAACTAGAAGAGCTTACTTTAAGCTGCTTACATGATCAACTAGGGAATGTATCTGGGATGATGGGAAATTAGGTCAAATTTTTATCTAGGTCAAAGGTCAAGAACTAGGTCAAATCCAGTACTTTGTCACTTTTTTCAATTTTCTCGGTCGTCCTTCAATATTTTCAATCCGGGTTTTTTTCATTGTGTTCCTCATAAAAAAGTAGAAAAGCTAGGGTCGATTTAGTTTTTTGGTATCTCAAACCGATTTCGAGATATCAGTGTCCGAAAACGAGGTCCAAAAAAAAGTTCTCCGAATCCAATGTCCAGGATATCAGTCTTATAGGAAATTTTCTCAGGATTCCGAATCTGAAAACCAAATTTCGATCTGACTTCCGGTTCAGAAGTTATGGCGTTTTGAAAATTCAAAAATCGCTAAATTTGGTGCCCCATGTTAATTCAATGGGAAAAAATATTTTTTTGAAGTGTAAAATACGAGATATAGACTAAGCACAGCTAAACATAATGGAAGCCCATAAAAGAAAGGGACCTCAAGACCTTCTTTTCATAAAATTTTGGACACCAAAATGCCTAGGTCAAAATCTAGGTCAAATTCAAAGTTTTTCCTTATTTTTGCGATTCTGACACTACAGATTAATTATATTCTTCGAAATTTTGTATACATATAGCCAAGAGTGTGCTTATAGGGGAAGCCTTTTGCCGTCAGAAAGTATTTTGACCCACTTTTGAGATATGGTGTCCGAAAAGTAGGTCAAAATAAAAATTTCTCCAAACTCAACGTATGAGTTATGAATTAAGGAAAGAATTTTCTCAGGAATCCGAAACTGCAAACCAAATTTCGATCCGACTTCCCGTTCGGAAGTTATGGCGTTTTGAAATTTCGAGAAAAATCGATCTGATGGTATCCTGATAGAAAGTCAAGAAAAAAAGATATTTTTTTGAAGTGTAAAATACGAGATATAGACTGAGTACAGCTTAAGATAATGAATTCCTATAAAAGAAGGGGACCTCAAAGGCTACCTAGTTTCAATATTTGGACACCAAAATGCCTAGGTCAAAATCTAGGTCAAATTCATAGTTTTTCCTTATTTTTACGATTCTGGCACTACACTTTTAGGATTTGCTTCGAAATTTTGTATACAGGTAGAAAAGAGTGTGCTAATAGTGATAGCCTTTTGCCGTCAGAAAGTATTTTGACCCATTTTTGAGATATGGCGTCCTAAAAGTGGGTCAAAATAAAAAATCTCCAAATTTAATGTATGAGTTATGAAATAAGGGTAGAATTTTCCCAGGAATCTGAATCTGCAAACCAAATTTCAATCCGACTTTCGGTCAAAAATTCCTACTTACCTACCTACCTACATACCTACTCGGCTACCTACTTAGCTACCTACTTCTCGGCTACCTACTCAGCTACTTACTCAGCTACCTACTCAGCTGCTTACTCAGCTTCCTTCTCAGCTACCTACTCAGCTACTCACTCAATTACTTAATCATCTACTTACTCAGCTTGCTACTCAGTTACTTACTCAGCTACCTACTCAAGTAAATCAATCTGGAGTCTTAAATTGAACTTTGTTCAATTTACAAATCTAGTTATTATTCTATTGTTACATTCATTCATCTTTTTTGTTCTTGGTATATTTTGAAGAAGTGGCAAGTTTCTGGGTTTCAAATCATAATTGATCAAAATTTACACAATAAGCTAACATGGATCTCTTTGGGATATACGAGTACATGTATTTGGGATGCAATTGTTCTTTAATTGTAAATATTGTTTGAAATTTATTCAATTCATATGTTGCTACATCGATGGGATGAGAAATTGGAACATTTGAGAGTCTTGCCTGGATTATATTATTCTGTCTAGCCTTATGTATGCATTTATTTGTGTGGGAATGTACATGTCTCCGTCAAGGATATCCAATAGCATAGGAGGTATATATTTTAGCATATTTACTCTATTAGCTTAACCACTTTTCAACTTTTCAAACAGTTGTTTATGACACATAATCATCAATCTATCCCATTTTGACCAGATTCTTAAAACTGTTTGTAGTAACCAGGCTTTATGTGAATGAAGAAACCATGAGTTATTGTTGGAACAATATATTGGTTTAGAGCATTGAATTACAAGATGGTCACAATTTTTGTTTGAAGTCATGATCAGACATGTGATTGTGATATTATGTGATAAATGTTTGTTTTGAGAATTGCAGTCTTTGCTTGTGATATATGGTCATGGTAGCCTCAGTTGACCAGTTGAGTTTTGAACATTGAACATGGTCATTGAACTTTACTTGGCATTTGGTTTCCTTGACTGTAACAATGAGTTACACTTTTGCAATTACTACCAGGTGGTGACACTATTTATTGTTTGTATAAACAGGGGGAGATGGTGGGGGGGGGGTGATTATACCTACAGTACATTTGAAACATTCTGGGCAATCCTTTTGGGATAAATTGTTTGTCCAGTAAGAGGTGCTATTGGAGGTCAAGGTCACCTGAAAAGTCCATGTACTGAGATTAGAACTTCCCCCTCTCTAAATATCAAAGTTCAACCATTTGAATATAGATTTAAAGTATATAAATACAGTGTATATTTTGTTTAGTATTTCATTGTTGGAATTTCCTGTTTGTCTATATTAATTATGAAAATGCTCTTAACAGAGTTTTGTTTTCATTATCGTCCTTGAAAATAAACTGTGGAATAACAACAAATGTTTGTATTAATCTTACTGAAGTTTATAGTATACAGCACTAATAACATATAGAAACAAATCATACACTTTCCCAAGAAACATTTTCAAGGCACATACTGTTTAGGTCATTCTTCATAGTGAAAAATGACTAAGAACTTAGAAACTTTTACTGAAGTTATGAGCTCTGTTAACATTTGATACAATTGGGTCTGAGCCTACTATGTTCCCCACAAAGACCCAGCTGCTTTTAGCGGAAAACATGTTCATTAAAAGTGATTTACCTTTGATATGCCTGCGTATTATGAAACAAAAAACAAGTAGTTTAATTCAGTTATTTGTGTTTTCTCAGTAGACTTTGTAAGTGGTTACATGTGTTTTTATAATTTATTGTTGTTTCATAAACACATTTTTAGATGTTGTGTTATACAGAGTGAGCTAAAAATAACCAATCCATGTATTTAGAATTGACTTTTTACATATGTAATACAGTATTATTATGTCACCACCACAAGTAGTGACATATTGTTATGGTCTCCAACTTTTTTGTGGATGGTGGTTGGCATTCAGCAGTTGGTGTTTGGCATTTTGATTCAATGTTCGGTGTCTGTAACAAATGGCAGATGGTGACATTTTGCATGTAATGCCTTGTACTGATATGTATTTATAATCATCATTGTAAAGTTGATTTATTTGCT